ACCTCGGCTTTGTCGCGTGCGTGGCCAAGAAGGGCAAGGCAGCGCGCGCAGTGGCGCAGTGTGCTCGTGCTCGTCAGTGTCGCCATGATGTCCAAGTTCGCTCGAGCACGGGAGGGGCCTGCTGCTGTCCCTCATGAGCTTGGTTACCCGCGTAGCGACCCGCATGGGGGTTTGATTCCATGGGATGCTGCGGTCGTGTCTCAGTTGCACTCGGAGGCGCACCGTGCGCAAGTGTCAGCCATCAGTGCCAGCCAGCGTGCCGAGTTATATATAATTTCGTCAGCGAGCGGAGGCCATCGCCAGGCTGGCAAAGATGTGCTGGATCCCTCCGTGGGTGTAAGTACTAGGGCGCCGACGACGTCTGCCGCGGCGGCGACGATTTCGCACGGTGCATGGGTTGGCCCGCGCAGGTCACGACATGGTCAGTGTCATGGGGGACAGCATGCTCTCAAGCCACCGCATAGTCAACCGCCCATGACATGTAAGACTGCTACGGTGGTCACGCTGAACGCAAGTAAGTTTGGCCGCGTGTTGATTACCTTGCCGAGGCGAGTCCTCAGGATGTTCTTGTGCAGGAGTTGCATGCGCCTGTCGACCTGATCGCTGATCGGCAAAACCAGGTGGATGACACTGGACACCGTGGCATGTGGAGTGCTGCCATACTGAACAAGCCTGGTGGCCCCGGGACTACGGGCGGTGTGGCGGTGCTTGCGCGGTCGCACATCACGGACGCGGCTCCGCCTTTCTCGCCCGCGCCCGTTATTCTCCCAGGGCGGGTGGTGGCAGCGCATGTGCGATCCCTCATGCCTGATGGAGTGGTCTGTGTGTCGGTCTATTTCAAGGGTGGTGAGGGTCTTGGGCCTCGGAACGCATCGATGTTGCGGCGTCTGGTGGGGTGCCGCAGCTCCCTCGGTGGCATGCAGATGCCCTGGGTCGTTGGAAGGGGCTGGAACATGGATGTCAGCACCCTCAACCAGTCGGATTGGCTCGCTAGTGTATGGGCGGCGCATGTGTCCGACGCTGGCCGCGTGTCGGCAGACGGCGCCAGGTCGCGTCTACGATTTCTCCAGTTGGCTGCTGCCCAAGCTCAAGGCAGGGGTCGAGGTGGGCGAGGCCGCCTTCACTTTCCCACGCATGTCTGTTTCGTTCGAGATTAGCAACAGATCTGAGCCAGTTTGGGCTAGAGTTGCCAAGAATCCCTAGGCCTGTCCTGCAGTGTCGCCCATCGGTTGCTCGTGGCCGCCCCCGTCCCCGCGGGGGGGCTGTGCTCCGGGCTGCGGCGCCGCAGGTTGCGTCGCGCGACTTGCTGCCGGGCTCTTGGGATTTGGTTGTCGAAGGCATATATAGAGAGAGAGAGAGAGAGAGGAGAGAGAGAGAGAGAGAGAGAGAGAGAGAGAGAGAGAGAAAGAGAGAGAGAGAGAGAGGAGAGAGAGAGAGAGAGGGAGAGAGAGAGAGAGAGAGATAGAAAGAGAGAGAGAAAGAGAAAAACAAAACAAACAAACACAGAGAGAGAGAGAGAGAGAGAGAGCTCGCGGGTCGTTGGGGCGCCGTCGGGGCCGGCGCCGAGGCCTGCGTGGGCGGCGATGGACCTCGGGAGGTCTGCTGGCAAGAGCAGGCGCGGGCCCCGCCCCGTGAGAGGGCGCGCGAAGATCCGAGTGTTCGTGCCTGGGCCGCCGCTCCGGTTTGGGCCGGGCACGTTGCTAAGATGCGGCAGTGCTTCGCGAAGGAGGTTGGGCTCCTCCGGGGCGCCGGGGCTCTCCGTTCGCTCGTGCCCTGGCAATATTCTAAGCTGTTGCAGTCTCTGGCGGAGTTTGCCAGGTTCGCGTGCAAGACTGGGCGATGCAGAAAAATGTTGTCGCATCTTGATGAGCCCGCCCGAATTTTTCTCGAGTTGGTTCGCGGCGTTGGCTCGGCCCGACTGCGCCCGCGAAGCCGCGGGCATCTGCGCCCGAGCCAGGGCTGTCATCGCCGAGGCCGAGAGTGCCTCCACCCATGCGTGACTCAGCTGGGTCCGTGAAGCGTTTCAGTCTGCTGCGTCCAAGGCGCGCGGGTTTTCGATGGTCAGAGCGGTCCAATAGATCCCCTCAGAAGGTGCCCCCGCGGCTCCGTTCTTGTTGGCTGATGATGCGCTTCGGCCCTGTGCCCAAGTTTGTGCCGCTCATGGGGGACCGCGCCTCTTCCGATCCCGTCGGACTTTTATGCTGGCCTGACCTCCCCCCCGTCGCGTCGCGGCAGGCGCGAAATGTTACGCGGTCGTATTCGCGCCGCGATAGGGTCCAATGCCCTCCATCCCAGGGCGTTGGTTCATCTGCCAGCTGCCGCCTTCGAAGCGCTGTCGGTCCTCTTTCTGCTCCGCGAGCGGTATGGGCGGTGGCCGGAGGGGGGTGGGGTGGTCAAGGGCGTGGTAAGGCTGGCCGAGCCAGATGGAGGCGCGCGCCTCATTGTGCTGGTCAGCGGCACAGGCAGGATCTGGAGTAAGGGTAGGGGGCCTCTCTGGCGTTCGCGTGGCGAGATCGGCGCAGGTGCG